TACTACATTAAAACACATAAAAGCATATTTATTATGTTGAATCATGTGAAATTGCTATTTTTAATGCAATAAAACATGATTTTGGCAATTCTGTTTACCTCAGCTCACATTAGCAGATTCTGCACATTCTAGCTACCTGATTTAATCACAAAACAAAATCGTGTGATGATTAACCAACCCTAAGTGACTTAGCCCTTAAAACTTAATGCTAATTCTTCTCTCGATTTAATGCCTACCTTCAAGGCTGTTTGACTCTACAATAAGCCTATCTTCAAGTGGGTATGAAGGGAGAAAGGAAAACAATGTTAAATAATTTAGTTACTTAAAATGATTTTCAGTATTTTTAAAAATCCAGAAGTTAGGGTGAAGGAATAGTTAAGACTGAGTTAAACTATGTTTTGGGGCATTATCTGAATTGGTTTGCATATACGACTCTGTCTCTGATCACCATATGTAATACATATTTGAGCAGATTATAAAATGAGTATGTTTCCAGATGAGATCAAGATGATATTAAGTTTATTATAAGGTTTTTAGCTGAAGAAAGAAAGAGTTTACTACAGGGTGAGTCTTTCTCAGAGTCAGTACATCTAAGGTCTCGTAGTTGTATCCCTGGCAGTCTGTGTGACCCCCCAACCCCTCTGGAAGCATTTTACTTGTTCACTTCACTGACAACTCACAGTACTTGTGTAAATTTATACCTGCTCTGCAATAACTCTGTGGTTCCCAAGAGCACACCCTCAAGGTTAGGAACCACTGGATTAGAAAAGCTCTGTGAACCCTTCTAGGCCTCACATTCTAATTCTTATTAATCTAAGAGGAATTAGCAACAATTGAGAAGAAGCAAACAAACTGTAAATTTGAAAACATGAAAGTGAGACTAATGATTCAAGCTGATAATTATGTATGAACTTTTGCCATTTGACTGGTGTCCAGAAACCAATGGCCGTGGAACCAAGGAGCGGGTGTGTCCCATGGACACTGGGGGCAGCCTGAGAGGAAATGACTGGGTAACTGTTTAATTGGATGCTACTTAAAACAAGATACTGAAACTCCCCAAGTGTCATGGTCCAGAGTAAATAGCTTCCCAGTCATACTGATTGGGTAAAAACCCAAAGGTGTCGCATTCATTGATGGCCAGCATCCATGAGGTTGAATTGCTACAGAAACACTCCTTTTAACTGTTCTTTGTCAGTCTGTTAGCTTTACTTCTTATTGTTAAGTACTTCTGGATGATAATTTTCCAATATTATATGTATGGTGAAAAAGAAAGGCAAATGAAATCTTAGCTACAAACATAGTAACAGGGGGTCTATGCAGGTGCTTCCCAGGAGAGGTCGTGGGTATGACGGTTATGACCGGACGAGTCAACCTGGTTTGAATCATCTTCTATCACTTGTATTTTATGGAACTTCCAAAATCTGTAGCCCAGGTCAGGTGACTGGAACTTTCTGGAACTCCGTTTCTGCACTTGCACATCTGGGGTGTTGATAATAGGATTAGGATCCGCATAAGGATTATACAAGGCAGTGTGTATAAAGCACTTTCACCAGCACCTGGCTCACTATAAATGGCACAGGACTGTGATAGTGACTGGTTATGACTACTGTTTCCTTCTCAGCAGTTTCACGTAAGAGTGACTGTTTTTGTCCACCCTAACCGAGTCATGGCCCTTACAGACTGCAGCCTTGACTCAGTTACCGTAGTGCAGTAAAGTCTATCAGTTTTACAAGAAGTGTCTCAGAAAACCAGGCTGCATGCTGTACACGTGCGCCCACAGCTGTATGTAAATAGGCACCGTGTGTGACTCTGCAGGTGGAATGGCCAGTCAGGGGGGCTTGGTCCCCCTTCTCCTTTGCTTGGCCCAGTCTCTTCTAGGGCTGTGCGTGAGGGCTCTTTCTCTCAGCCATATGTATTCATATTAATTCACTGCCAGTTTTATTCTTTCTGTAGTATTAAATATTGAATATCAGGCTGAATAGCTTCTTTAATTTCCATTTGGAGTAATAAAATATTACCAGTGACTTCTTTCTTGATCTGTAGCAATACTAACATAGTAACAGGGGGTCTATGCAGGTGCTTCCCAGGAGAGGTCGTGGGTATGACGGTTATGACCGGACGAGTCAACCTGGTTTGAATCATCTTCTATCACTTGTATTTTATGGAACTTCCAAAATCTGTAGCCCAGGTCAGGTGACTGGAACTTTCTGGAACTCCGTTTCTGCACTTGCACATCTGGGGTGTTGATAATAGGATTAGGATCCGCATAAGGATTATACAAGGCAGTGTGTATAAAGCACTTTCACCAGCACCTGGCTCACTATAAATGGCACAGGACTGTGATAGTGACTGGTTATGACTACTGTTTCCTTCTCAGCAGTTTCACGTAAGAGTGACTGTTTTTGTCCACCCTAACCGAGTCATGGCCCTTACAGACTGCAGCCTTGACTCAGTTACCGTAGTGCAGTAAAGTCTATCAGTTTTACAAGAAGTGTCTCAGAAAACCAGGCTGCATGCTGTACACGTGCGCCCACAGCTGTATGTAAATAGGCACCGTGTGTGACTCTGCAGGTGGAATGGCCAGTCAGGGGGGCTTGGTCCCCCTTCTCCTTTGCTTGGCCCAGTCTCTTCTAGGGCTGTGCGTGAGGGCTCTTTCTCTCAGCCATATGTATTCATATTAATTCACTGCCAGTTTTATTCTTTCTGTAGTATTAAATATTGAATATCAGGCTGAATAGCTTCTTTAATTTCCATTTGGAGTAATAAAATATTACCAGTGACTTCTTTCTTGATCTGTAGCAATACTCTTTGTCAAAATGGAAGTACTTAATAAAGCCTGAGAAGCACCTATAAAAAGCTCTTAGAAAGAATATTTTATAGTAGATAAGTGAAATATATCAAATAAAGCACACATCCGAGAGCTGAATCAGTACAGATTTGGAAACTCTCATACAACAGGTATTATGATAAACTCCAATTACCAAAAGTTTTTTTAACAATTAATTTTAATGACTTTAATCATATTGAGATCACGTAACACAAATAAGAATAACTAACTCCTTTGGAGATCTTGTAATAGATGAGATTTCTGATTACTCAGTAGACACTTACTCCAAACTCCCATATTTTGACCCATAGAAATGTGTGTCTGCACGAGTAGTTTTACAGTACCGGCGTGCATGGTTAGACCAGTGGAGTAACATCAGAGCAGGAATTCCTAGGCAGTCAGCTGTCCTCACAAGAGGAATCTCCAGGCATCTCTTAGGAACAATGCAAGGCTGGTATCAGAAATACTGGCCTATAGACCACAGGCTCTGACTGCAGAGTGGCTGCTGCCCACGGGGTGGGGACGAGGCCCCCGTGTGCCCTTGGTTCCCCAGGGCTTCACATCGCATGGGTAACGGCGAGGTGGGGGGTTTTGGGGAGGGGGTGGGGAAGCAACGAAGGGGGAGCTTGGGGCAACTGGGGCCCCAACTGTTCACCAACCTCTTCAGCATACAGTGCATCCTGAGGATGTATATGTATTCACTGCATCCTTGTGAGACATCGTCTGTAAAGCCAAGAGTTGTGAGAAAATACCCTTATTATCAAAAGGAGCTCTAAAGAGTGGTCAGTATTTACCTATCCTTCATGGAGATTGTTATACTCGCTGTTGGCAAAAGACAGTGATAGTTTCATTCAGATTTGCTTAAAGTGTCTCAACCTCAAAAAAAAAAAATAAGCAAAACCAAAACCACAAATCGATTTAATCTGGAGAAAAATTTGTTTAAAATCCCAATATTCTCATGTTTGGCTATATGATATTGCAGTGTTTTTCTATTGAGTTGCTATAATTACTTAGGATTTCCCCCATGCTCATTTATTCCATGTGAATTTCTGGAATTGATCAAAGATACTCTAAAAGTAGTAGAAGACAATCTGTAATTTACATTTTCAAGATCATGAGTGAAATTATTTTGAATTTGTAATTTGAATACAGTAAATGAATCTTATTAGAAATTTTTATTTTCCAGAATGAAAAGATAATAAATCTTTTCTATTCATGAGGGGCAAAAATATCTAAGGAGGTGTTTGTTATATTGATTATATCAAACCGAACTTATCCCAAATAAGAAGTTGTAAAAAGGAAACCCAAGATTTTGATTTATAAATTTGTACTTTGTTTTTAGTTGAAAAGAGATTTCTGGGATGGTTTGTATTGTTATTTTTTGAGTATCAACCATTATAAGACATTTGAGGGCAGAAACAGTTTAATTGCCCAAATGCACATGTTCTCTTTAGGTCTTAATTCCACATCCATGGTCGTTCTTCCATTTTCCTTTTTTTTTTCTTTTCTTGTTTAAAAATTTTCTTTTTTTTCTTCCTTTAGATTAAAATTATTTTCAAAATACTTGTTCTCTTTTATTTTCCTCGTAATTCAGAACAATACCCAGATACCAAAATAGCTCTGAAAGTAGAGGTCTGTCCACATTACCGGCAGTTCTCTACCAGGGGACGTTCTCCGTGTGCACATTTCAGATTCACTTTGAATGTCAATACAAAAGACTAATGCACGTGCCTCTTTGGTTTGCATAAAAAGCTTAACTGATATTTATCGCAATTTCAATAAACACCCATTGAATTCTTTCTGCATATAATCGTGCAAGATTTTATGGGGGTTACAAACGTATGAGGAAAACCCCCAGGCCCCAGTACCTCGTAACAGCATGAGGATCCCATGCGCGGTGCCCAGGCGGGCGGCCGCCTCCGCCTCCGACAGGGGCCCTCGAGGTGGGTGGGGTGCACTTGAGAGCGGAGCTCGTCCCTGTGCGGATCCTCCCGGCCTTGGGGACAGCAACGGCCGGGCCGACTGCCCCTCTCGGAGGATGGGGACAGCCCCGGGCCCGTCTCGCCCAGCACCAGCTGCCGGAACTGTGGACATGTGATGAGGCCACGCGCTGCGTCCTCTCTGGGAGCCGTGTTGCACTGACCACATCATTTGTATTGTTTTTGTTGTTTATTGTTCTGAAATCATGATCTTAGTGTTTTAAGGGGAAGTCCTGGGGGCACTGCCGCCTTACCTTTTCTAGTCGCTGTTGAGAGGAGGCACTTCACGGGCTGCTTTTCCCTCTTTTTGGTGAAATGCCACAGGTGGGCACCGGGCAGGGGGCCGACACCCGCACAGCACAGACACCCCACGCCCCGCCTCCCCGTCCCACGTCCTCTCACGGGTGTCTTGTTCCCGGCAGGACGGTTCTTCTCACTCTGACCTCCGCCGTTGTCCTGGTCATCACCACCGACTGGATCAGCTGGGACAAGCTCAACCGGGGATTTCTGCCCAGTGACGAAGTTTCCAGAGCATTCCTGGCTTCCTTCATCCTGGTCTTCGACCTCCTCATCGTGATGCAGGTGAGCGTCCCGGTAGTGTCCTCGCCGTGTCTGCAGGCAGCCGCGTCGGGGGAGCCCCCTCCCTGCACACCAGGCGGCTGAGGGCCCCTGACTCTGAGCGGGAAGGTTCTCGAGCAGGTCGGCCGAGCGCAGGTGGGGGAGGAACTCATTACAGTGAGAGCAGAAAGGAGGGGCAGCCGCCTGCAGGCAACTGGCAACAGGCAAGGGCAGAGAACTAGGGCAGGCTGCCCTGCCAAGCCCTGAAGCCAGGGTCACCTGGCGTCCCGTGTCCGCGTGGATCTGCAAAGGCGTGGACACGAGCCCCTACCACCCCAGGGTTTGGGGGAGCTGTGCAGCATGGGTGGAGTGAGAGTATGTTCTGAGAACTCCCCGAAGAATGGAGATTTTCAGGCAGGCTACTCACCCCAGAGCAGATTCTAAAGCTGCGGTCCCGTCCGGGTCACCCTGGCGACGGGAACCGCAGGCCCAAACCAGCGCTCCCAGCAGCCCCTCCCTGCTTGCCAGGAGTAGAGACAGAGTGAAGACTTGGAAATAGAATCAAATAGCAAAGAGACAAAACGCAGTAATTTGAGCAGTGAGAAAGCGTTGCTTGAAAAGTACGCACTTACAGAAAGGAAAGTGTGGGCGTCCTCAGAGAGGCACATGGAAAGGCTGGGGATTCTGTCTTCTAAGGCTTTCAACAATTGGTCAAAGGGTCGGGCAGGTGGTTGCTGGATGTAGGCTTGACCTGTGGTCTGATGAGGTCTCTCCAGTGAAGGACGCTCCGTCTGCATCTGTAGCCAGTCCTCTGGGTGACTCTGTAGGATAAACTTAACATGGGGAGTTTATTGATCTGGTTCCCCTCCAAGATAGTGGTGACCCTCAAGCGCTGGGAACATACCAGTTAGGGCTGCTTGCCCTGCCCTAAGATTGGGTGGGTTGTTGTTTGATCACCAAAGAGTATGTTTGGAATCTTACCTCCTAACTGCCCGGTTTTCAAAATAGAATATAACCTTACGATGGAGTCCCTCCTGTTGTCACTATACTGTTTATATCCTGGCATTTTTCACCACAGGCAGGGAAAGTTTGCCATGATGCCTGTCCCGGGTCGCTGCCCCGCCTCCCTCTTGCTGAAGCCACTCTGCTCTTTGTTCTCAATATAACGAGGGAGCCCTGGACAGTGGAAAGCCCCGTAAAGCTAGAGGGGTGCATAGTCTATAGTTGCCGTTAGTGGAACCTTCTCTGATCATAGTTTCAGCAATTTTACTGGGAAGACAAGCCAGTTGAACTTTCATGAGCAGGGTACCACACGTCACTGTGTAAATATTGCAAAGGGGGCTCTAGAAAACAAAGAGCAGGATGGTATTTTCTGCCAAGGCTTCAGGGAAACACAAAACAAAACAAAACGCCCCTGTCATCTCGTCAGTGAAAAGCTGCCGAGATGAGGATGATAGAAAGCCGGCGGAGTGGGGATCAGCGATTGGCAGAGTGACTCAGGGCGTTATAGCAGCCGAAGTGCAATGATGTAAAAATGCCCTTTCTGCTTATGGAAATTATCACGGTGTTTACGTGCTCACCAGGGATCATGCCGTTTTCACGTGAACGGTTCTTCTGCCCTGCTCAGCACCGGCGTGTCCCCCGCAGCACCGCGCTCACTGGCGTTACCCGTGCGATGCTCCATGAGCGCCTTGAGGTGCCTCGGGGCGCCCCTCTGAGTGGGGCGGAGAGAGACGTCAGCTGTTCTTGGCCCTTCATCTCGCCCATCGCGTGTCCATCCATTTGCGAGACACTCTGTAGTTGCTGTCATGGCGCAATTCCTCCCTTCCCGAGGCGGCCAAGTCGCCGGGGCAGTAGAAGTCTGGTTTGTTTTGTTTTTTGGTCTATAGCACAGCCTGGGCATTAGGGTCAAGCTGGTTCCTAGCGTATACTCCTATTTCAAGGGATGACAATTCAAAATACATTATTGTTTTTAAAAATTAATATAAAAACAATATCCATTCTCATCTAAAAGCTGATGTGTTCCTTTTTTACTTTCTGTGGGGCAGTCGAGCAGAGCGGCCGTGGGCTCTGGTGAGACAGGCCTGGTGGGCTCCTGCCCGTCCCTCCCTGGCTGTAGGAGCTCCTCCGGGCGGTCCGCAAATCGCGCCTGCAGCACTTACGCAGTCACACATCCTGCGTTACTCCGTTTAAGGCTGTTTTCTCCTTTTCCATCTAATCTCCTAGTTTATATGCTTTGTTATGTAAAGCACCCTCTGTGTTCCCCCCTTAGGGTCAGAGGTATCAGCAGCAAGCCGACCATTGTCTCTTGAATTTGTTTCAATTTGCATATGTGAAAGCATAGATTTCCTGATTTCCTGCCACAGTCCATCACCTCCTATCCTCTATATATATGGTTTTAATTAATCTTCCAGTAAATTCACTAAAATCAAGGATTGAGGTGGGAAAATGTCGCATTACAATTTACAGGCATTACAGGCTTACTCAAAAAGTGCCTCACGAAGCAGGATGGAGGGAAGGATGGGTGGCCTGGATCGCGCAGCACAGTCAGCGGGCCTGGGGGGTGGACAGCGTTCTGGGCGAGGGGCAGGGCAGGAAAACGTGGAGTCAGGACAGTGCCCAGTGTCCAGAGAGTGGCCGAGCGCCCGCTGCCTGGAGATGGAGGGTCCGTGCCGAGGAGCAGAGCCGTTCGCACCGTTTGGCCCCACGAATCAGTAACCCTCCCAGGCCACTTGGCCAAAGGGGGGCTGTGTCCCCGTGGTAAGGATGGCCCCCAGAATCAAGGAGCAGAAGTGCAGGGGCATTTGGGGGGCCTGTGTAACAGCGACCGAAGGGTAGCAGGGAGCCCAGACCCTCTCATTCTCCATTTCTCATCTTCTTTTTCTGTTTGCTTCTCTTTCCATTTTTCCTTTTACCATGAAGCGGGCTTTTCAGCCTCCCAGTTCCCAGGGAAGGAAATGGCCGCAGCTAACAGCTCCCAGCAGCCCAGTCCCAGCCTCCTGACTGGTCAGAGGGTGGGTCTCATAAAGAGGAGCAAAGAGTGAGGGCACCGAAGTAGGTCACTTACCTCCTCTCTCTCCCCTGGAACCCTGAGGCGGCCAGCCTGGCATCTTGATCATCTTCTGCCGTGACTGCTGTGGCCTAGTCCCATCTCGTTTCTCTGCCCCTTTCTGGTCCCAGCGGACCCTGTACCATTGCTAATGGTCTCCGGTGGAACCTTCTGCCTCCAGGCACTGCCTGGTCACACACGCCCTGTCCAGCTCCCCCATGATGTTCCAGTCTGAAATGCCATGCTGTACATGTCACTTCTCAGCCAGAAACACTGCCAGTGCCCCCTCACTGCCGAGACTGGAGCCCCGCCCCAGGGGCCGCCTCCGTGCCCCGCACGATCTGGCCGTGGCTGCATTTCCTCCCGTGGCTCCTGCGCTCTAGCTCTCCCCCAGGCCAGGGGGCTCGCTGCTCGCTCTCGGACCATAGCATGCCTACTGCGAGATGCCCACGAGCCCCCTTCTCCCCTCCCTGGAGCTGCTCGCCGAGCTGCCGCAGCTGCAGACCACCCCAGTCCCCTCACGAGAGCCATGGGACTGTGTCCTCCCCAGACTCCTGCAGCGCTTTACCTGAACTGCAAGTCAGCATTCACGTTCCCTGCTCCGTAGAGCAGAAGCCGTAGCTTAGAACAACTGCCTGTCCCTGGAGCCCCTCTAGCGCAGAGCCCCACGTGGGCAGCCAGAGGCCTGGAGTCGTAAGTGCTCAATGGGAAGAGGTGGCATGTCAGGCCGAGCCTCATGCAAACTGACTCCTTTGGGAGGATCACGTTGCTGTTCCAGGAACTGGCGTCTGCAGTGAGAGGGTGAATTTAAGGAAACAGAGCCCCAGAAGGCACATATATCCAAGACATTTAAAAAATATAAGACAAATGTCCTAGCAAGTCCATAACCAACTGAACTGTGGTCTAATCCATTCGCTATTCACATATTTAAGACAAAAGAAAAATAGGTAAGTACCAAAATTAGTGGAAATGGAAAGAGTGGTTTGACTAAAAGGTTTGCCCTCATTAGAATTATTTGAGTGATTTAAAAGCAATTGACCCAAGACTTTTCTAATGGAAGGAAAATTCAGCTTATACTATTAAAAGATATTTTAATGTTTGGTTAAAAAAAAAGAAGAAAGAAAAGAAACCATTAGCATAATGTACTACTGCTGTAAAGATTTTATTTTAACAAAATTAGTAGGTCAATTTTGAATACTTTTAGAGAAAGTATAGTTACTTTTTTATGAATATTCATTAAATACCATTTTTCTGCATGTAGTGTGAAAACCATCTGTTGTATCACGTCTTCTCTAACTCTACTCAAGTTCCAGAATGAAGGCATAAACAGACGCCAGTAAGATATAAGCTGACACATGTACATCTCACATTCCCACAGCAACAAGCAGTAAGTTGCAAGAACACTTCCCTCCCAGGAAATATTATCTCCCATTCTGTTTAATATTTGTAATTATGCCATCTGATTTTTATATGCTCCTTTAGTTCATTGCTTGAGTATTTCATCTGCAGTTAGGTCCCACCCATTCATGTCCTTGCTATATTGAAGATAAGATGTATCCAAGATACATGAATTCAAAATGTAGCATAAGCAAAGGGAAAAAAAGGTTAGTCTCTTCGTAAGATAAACAACACTGTGCTTTTACTACACAGGAAAGGAGAGAGTGCGAGAGGGAAGAGGGGGTGGGGGAGGAGGAGAGGCGAGGATTCCCGAAGGAGGGGTACAGCGGGGCGAGGTGCGGAGCCTGTGGGTTCCCTGGCGCGAGGGTGGGTGGGCGGAGGCGGGCGGGATGGGGCCACAGCGAAGACCCTGGACACTGACGGACTCGTGTCTGGTCTTGAGTCTCCATCGATTCTTTGTCTTGCTGTTTCTTTTCATAACTGAGCTCTAGGGGATTCATGTCGGGAAGATTAAAAGCCTGTTGAGCTTCTCAGCGGGGATCCGTGTAGTCTGGCATCAAGATCGCATCTGCTGAATAAAGTGCTCAGGAGGCAGGGGAAGCCCCGAGAAAGCACATTTGCCGGGAATTTACAGGGTGGTATGGAACAGTTTTTCATGTATACCCACATAAAACCTTGGACCTTCGCTCTTTTTAACCTCTCCTCCAGAAAGCATCTCTCTTCACCTTGTGTATGTGTATGTATATCTTAGATTATGTATATAAATAGGTACATAATATAACACATTACATATGTAGTATCTTAGCTCTATGAGCTTCAAGGAGATGAGCAAAGCCCTCTAGAAGAGAGGCTTTTAATGAGAAGGAGAAAGATTCAAAGATCGTATTTTGGCAAATCCTCACAGGATTGGTAGGTCTTTTTAGCACTTCTCTGTCTTGTAATTTATCTACACACGTGCCCCTTTCCTTCGTACCATGTACCTACATGCCTCCTGAAACATGTGAGCTCCTCAAGGAGAGGAAATGGGTTTCTTCCATTTTTTTCACTCCCACAACTGGCTCATGTTCAGTGCGTTGCAGTCTTACCATAAATATTTTGCCAAACGAAAGAATAAATAAAGGAATGCACATAACATTATTTCCAAAAAGCCAGAGAACATGAAATTTTTCAAGAAGCAAAATGTTTACCAACAGCAGGAGAATGAACCATCAATAATATTAGATTAGCTTGTTTTCATTGAATTATGCTCTTACTGTAATTAAATAGCCACATAAAAATCTGAATAAATTGTTCAGTTAAGTGTTATAAAAGATTCCTTGGTCTAGTTGAAAAGCACTTAGAAGTGATATTTACTGAAAAGTAATTCCTAATCCACTAAAAAAATCATTATGAAAATTGCATTCTGCAAACATTCCACTGTGTAACATCTAAAATGTATTTGTCCTCCGTTCTATGTGTGGTTCTCAGAAGCGGGTTGACTACTTTTAAAAATAGACGTTATGATCCTGGGAGACTGCGTTTTAAAACTGCACTGCCCTACTTAGCAGGGCGCACCTGTTGAGGTCATAGCTCGTGGCAGTGGGATCAGTCCCATGGGGCACAGGGCAGAGCAACAGGCATGAACCTGTTGTGATTAAATAGCCGTGGTGGTTTGACCAGTTGGCGTATATTTTCAGAATAAGATATTCCAACCAATTTAGTTTGCCAGCTACTTAGAAAGAAAGGGTTGTTTAAACATCTGTCCACCAGTTTCAGCACGTTCTTCAGCTTTGGGAATACTTCACATAACTTTTCTCAAAGTATGTTACACTCCTCCTCAAGATTGTTTTACATCTTCATTTTCCTTACCCAAGGGTTACAGTGCTATTTGAAAGCACAATAGTGGCGATTTCTGTTAGAGGCTCATCACACGGAATACAGGCGTATCGTTTAAGTAATCCTTGGGTTGACCATAAATGCCTACTCTCCTCGTGATACATGCTCAGGGGTTGAATCTCAACTTTATTTACTGTAATCATTTTGTGCTTCTTATATCACTGTTGTTCCAGTGGGAAGACAGACTTTTCAAGGAGAATGAATGGTGGAGAAGAACCTCAGTATATTTACTAGTAGATTGGCCTCTAAATAGTGCAAAACTCACCATGGTGACTTGTGTTCATGCAACGTGGAGGAGTCCAGCCCAGTGGGCAGTGGGCAGGTGCCAGAGAACATGCCTGGCAGGTGACCTACAGTGTCAGGAGAAGTTGGCAGAAGGTAATAGGATGCACTGGGGTTTCCGGCAAAAAAAAACACCTCAGGATTCAATCATGGGCATTGGAGTGGCAAACACACTCCCTAGATCACGAAACTAATAATCTGGTGAGCACATGATGTAGATCATAATTTTGACACAATCTCTGGCAGTAAGTTCTATGAAGGATTCTTGTGAGCAGGGGCGATCACTCAAGTCTTTATGGATAATGAGGGAAGAATGTAGCTTGAAGGAATTATAAGATTTGGTTAAGCAAGTGGAAAATAGAGACATTCAAGTTTTATCCCAATTTAAATGGTTCAGTCCCTGAGGTATTTTTTAAAAAGAGAGCTAGAACATGATTAAAAAACTGGGAAGATATAAATTCTCTGCTATTGCACATGAGTGGTAATTTTTGCAAAGCCGCACTGAGGCCGCAAAACTGAAGATCGACCTCCTTCAAATTTGCATTTTTCCAGTGGATGCATCACTGTTTCCAGGTGCTGCAGAATAGTTAGTATCTGATTGTCACTCTGAAAGAATGTCCCACCCTCGCCCACACCCCCTTCGTGTGTGTGTGTTTCATGAGTGACCCCTGGGTACCCCCTGGGTGTAGTGGCTGCCCCTTGTACGACTTGAACACGATTTTTTCAAGTGTGTGGTTGAAGACTGACGCATCCTGGCATTTCATCAGGCCCCCGACTCCTCTGGGGCAAGTTTCAAACTCGTAGTTTAAATTTTGTAAGTGATGCTAAATGTAAGCCCTGAGAACAGATTTATCTCAGGTATCCTCTCCCCAGATCAAATGGGCCAGGGCTTTGTAACCATTCTTACTGGAGTGTCAGGACGGGAAGCATTTCTATGGCTTCTCTCTTAAGAGAAGATACAATGATACCAGTGTATTTTTAGACACTATGATAAAGCTAAGAACAAGTTAAAGAAATGTTGTAGGCAGTGAGGAATCACAGAAGCCAGTGCCCGGTCCCCAGGAGTTCAGAACATTCATTTTAAACTCATGCCTAAAATAAGAAAAGAGCAGCCATTGGTAAGCAGACAAGTTTAATGACATCATAGAATCACAGAATCATAGGATCACCATTCAACCCTGCATGGCCAAACCCACCCCGAAGCCCAGGGAGGTTTTATAATTCACCTGAGGTCACGAAACTAGTCAGTGGCTGGGCCCAGGGTCTTCTGGACTCCAGCCCACCACCCGGCTGGGTTGTCTCTGAGCCAGAGGCCCATAAGCTCTGGAGCTGGACACGCAGAAGGGCTCTGGGGGATGTCATGCACCAAGTGGCTCAAAGCCCAGTCTTGCCTGGCAAGGCTAGAGGGTGGGTCCGATGCCCAGGGACACAGCAAGAACCCTTCAAAGTGGAAACGAGGACCAAGCTGGTAAGCGGGGCAGAGTGGGGGGTGGAAACACACCTGGACCCCAGAGAAGAGAGAGACAGATGGAAAGACGGAGGCAGGAAGACAGGAGACGTGAGTGTTCAGTGGGCTCTCACGCGTGCTGGGCGTGCTGCGGGGGGCTCGGGTGCGCCGTTTTATTTCACCCTCTTGACCCCTACACGTGAATATCATTATCGCCTATACTTTTACTAAGGAGGAAAATGAGAATTTCCCAGGGTACACAGAGTCGGCTTTCAGCAGAATGAGGGTTAGAAACAGATCTGTCTGACTCCAGAGCCTATACTTTTCTCACACCCTGTAGTCTTGTTGTGTGTGTCAAACTAGATAATCTGCACAATGACACAGCAGAGCACGTGGCAGGCGCACGACGCTCAGTGAGTGATGGGGGCTCCTGTAACAGGGTCCAAGTCTTAGTGGCAGTGCGACCCTGGTTAAGTCACTCCATTTCTAGGAATACATGTTCTCATCTACAGCGTGACAGTTTTTTCCTGACCCATGGTACAAGATTTATATGATAGTCAGATAAAAAATGTTCTTGAAGTAAGACATTTGTGCGTATCTAAATTTCATAATCTGAATGGAAGAATATAAAAATAAATAATGCTCTTCAAGTATGACATTTTTCATATCTGAATTTCATAACCTAGATGGAGGAAAATAAGTTAATTAGAAAGCATTTCAGAGTTAGGGTTTGAATGCAATTAAGTGCTGAGGCTTCTTTTGATCTGAACAAAGGGAAACTGCAATGATGTTGGGGCATCAGGGGGCTGCGGCCTGGGGGGCCGTGTGCTTTAGCCATCACCAGCTAGTGGCCAAGCACACGGAGTGGGTGATTCT